ACTTTCCCTTCGCTCTCCGTCGCCTACCCCTTCCGCCTCCATGAGTCCGTCCTAGATCCGTCTGTGGAATAAAACTGCTTGGGTAACTATACCCAGATCTAGCCGCTGATAAACCCAATACTTATCTAGGAATGGCGGTATTCGGGACCAAAGATGATGATGATGCTTAGCAAATACCTAAGATTTCCCGAAGGGGATAAAACCTTACCTCAAATATTTCTTTTTGGACGAATCACTGAACTAGTAGCTCTTTCCCCCCAACAAACGAATTCAGGATGTCACCAGACTAGCTTCCATCAGTCCATTTCAATTTTGTGGTTCCCTCATCCACAGACGGATCCAGGACGGATTTCTGGGGAGAAGGGGAAAGGGGGAAAGTGAACCCCTTCCCACTCTGGAACTATGCAAAAACTAGGAATAGAGTTGTAACACATTGCTACTTACAGTTACTTTGGTTTTATTTATGAACAAACCCGGGTTTTTGTAGTACTGGTACCTGTGCTGCCACGTCTTCATCCCTTCCGCTTCGGCACTTTTGCACCGAGCAAATGCTCAACCCTGGGTGAACTTTGTACACAACTTTTACTGCTGACGAATTGCTGTAATCTTATGGGTAAATATATTTTTGCTGGAGGCGTAAGGTTAAAAACTAATTGTATTTGATGGGGAATAAAGACGGTCGACGGGTGGTACCCGAAGATATTAATGCAGTAATAACATGAAAGTGAAGCTGTAATTCATAACAGTAATGATGGTTTTGATAATTTAAATACCAAGACCGCTGGGCCAAATTGCAAAAGTGAATTACATAAGTGTTGAAGCTTAAAAGTTACCTGAAATGTTGAATCTCGGTACTTATTGAGCTTGAACTGCGTAAGTGTAGAAGCTTAAAAAAAAAGTTACTAACTGCACCTGGGATGTTGGATCTCGGTGCTTAGTGAATTTGGCCGTGTTAGTGATATTACTGGGATGCTTGCACACACCGCAATCAACTATGCCATTAGAGATATTCGTAATAATGCTATTCGTAATCATGCTTTCATGCTGTTCCACTTTTCCACTCTCTCTCTCTTTTTCTTTCACATCCCCATCTTGCAAAATAGTTACATGTCCTTTCAATACATGTGGCGGGTATGAGGCTTTACTGACAATTCCCATTCCTACCCGCATGCATAGTCCCGTCTGTGTGTTTACAGCTAAGGGATGAAACACAGGCTGCATCGTAAAATGTCTTTTTGTACATGACACCTAAGTTCAGTCCTCCTTCTCTACTATTCATTTTGCAGCCTTTATAACAAAGAGGAAGTAATCAAAGCAATTTTATCGAAGAAA